TAACAGCTGCAGTGCCAATGGCTAAGTTCTTCTGGCAAAGACGACTGTGGGATTTGGATTCTGTTGTTTCCTTTTGGGTTCACAGCCCAGTGAACACCAGCCCTTCTGTGATCACACACTGAGCCCTCCCGAGCACCCGTCGAGGCCCCCGGCCCTGTGCAGTCCCTGCCTTCAGAGACGGCATCGCCCAGCTAGCGAGAACAGAAGAGCACCTAGGGGACAATCAAGAGAACTGCGGCCGACGGTCACTCTCTGGTGCTGACCACCCTAGAGCCTGCATCCACAGAGGCAGAAGCTGGTCCAGCTGCCCCAAGCAGGCCTCCCGGGGAGGGTCAGGACGGGACGGGGAGGCAGGCCGCAGCAGCCTTGTCAAGACGGCAGAGGCCCAAGGAAGCGGAGTAGAGCTCGAGTGCTGGGGCGTGTTGGGGGTTAAGGGGAAAAGCGGAGGACGAGCTTGTCCTTGGGGGTGTGAGAGTGAGGGGTCATTAAGGGCACGAATCAGGGGCCTCATACCGGGAACCTTTTATGGCCACCGTGTGCCGTGGAATCTCACGACAGAGACTAAAGAGGAGGTTAGCAATGATGACGTAGCACACCCTGGCACAAGGGGGCAAAAGAGAGGAAAAGAAAAAGGAAGAGGTGGTCGTAGGCAGTCTCGTGAGAAGTAATCCAAAGGGAGAAGCCACGGGACCTGGGACGCCCTGCCTGCCGGGGTGAGGTCGGTGGGGAGCACAGATGCACTGGCCCAAATGGTGCTGCCGCGACGTTCCGCCGGAGCCTCCCTCCGGCCGCGACAGCTGTGAGTCTCGTCAAATAGTAAACACGTCCCCCAGTATCACCATGCCGCTTGGTGGGCGTTTCTGCTCCAGGAGCCACTCTCGAGTGAATGACAGCTTCCCTGTTTCTCAGAGAAGTCCCAGGGGGCCATTCTGTGATTTTAGCATCACTACCTTCAAAGGCCCAGGACATTTCCCATCTCAGTTTTCTGGGGCTCCTTCTACAAATTAGATTGAGGTGGGGTTTTTTTTAAGAAGTTTTCTTGCAAATTCCTGTAGAATTTGAACAGTAATAGAGAGAGTATTGTAAGTGCATGTTCTGGTTGAAGCAGATCCATGCCTCACAAATTGTGTACTGAATGCTCTGCTCCATAATTATAGTCTAGATAAAAACTCGACATGGGGCTTAAATTTGATTAAAGCTGGTATTAATTGGCAAATTAAAACAGCACTTGTCCCCACCAAAAATGCTGCACATCCACGGATCCAGCTTCTCCCCGTACTCCTTATGTGCTGGGAGAAGCTACTTTTGGGACACAAATGCCCTTCTGTGCCTCACAAATAACAGTATTCAGGGACACAAGGCCCAACTGTTGTAAAAATATTAGTATTCAGATGCGCCTGTGTTTTGTTAATGCATTTAATCATGTACAATGTCGCCATTGTTTTCCTTTCACATTTGCATTAATTTATATTAGCCACAGAATATAAAGCATAGCTAGAAAATCAGGCTCTATTTCTGTTGCAACCTATAAATTAGCATTGCATTCCTGCAAAAATCTACAGCCTTCTGCTGCCCTGATATTCTTCATGTTGCATTTTTATGTTGCTGCGATGCAGTGAGGCATTTAATAGATACATTATAAATGCCGTGTTCTAATGTGGTTGAATTAATCAGGGGTCGTATAAGATGTGCCATATTCTAAGTGACAGATTTCTAAGGCATGTAGAGTGGCTGGCATTAGGCACACCTGAGCACCTGACAGCCGTATGCAGTCTCAGGAGTGTGAATAAGGTTACTGTGTTCCTGGTTCCCGCTGTTTGCCTTGCACTCTGTCACAGGCAAACGTTTATGATCTTTGTTGGGAGTAAGTTACTCTGCTTTGGCAATATAGGTCAGTATATTGACTGCATGATGTGTCATTCATGGGACAGTCTTTTGACTCCTATGATTTTGTCGAAAGTGTAGAATCATTTGCTTTTTGTTGTTTATGTATTTGTGGAAGTATGTGTTGTAGATATACAAACTTCCACAAATATGTATAACAAGAGGAAATGACCCTGCCTCACCCCTATGTGCAATCAACCCTCAGATCCCTCCCCTTCCCAGCCCCCAGAGCACAACCCTGGCCACCCTCCAATCTCTCCCATGGACAGCAGTCCCTCCCACCTGTGCTCGCCTGCACCTGTGCTCGCCTGCAGGCCCAGCCATCTTCTACCTTGAAGTCCAGTCCCGTCTACACCCCCTTAGTGGTCTCTGGTTGCTCTTCAGAGAAAAGGCCAGCTCCTTGCCTTGACCCTCAAAGCCCTGTGCCGTCCGGCCCAGGGCCCTGTGCACCTCCTCCTCCTCACCTCCTCCCCTGCACCATCCTCCATCTCACCTCCTCCCCTGCACCATCCTCCACCTCACCTCC